CTGAATTCATTTTTTGGGGATACTTGCTACATTGAGGCACCGCTATTTGAACTCCTTGAGGATAAACGTATACTAAAACGGTTTTGGTATCCTTGAATATCTGTCTTTATTCGCGGGCTAACCTCAGATTCACAAACAAGAGTGCATTACAGAAGATAAATTTGCATCAGGCAAATTTACCACAACAAAATACGAATTGGTATTCAGGATCTCAGCATTAAAGTAAACATGCTTTGAAGTTTTTACAACTCATATGGATGCTTTCAGATTGCAGTTATTGTTAGACTATGATTATTTGCTAAACCCATTTGAAAAGTACTCACATTGCAGAAGCCGCCTCGTATGTTCAAGCCGGTTAGAGATGTTCTGCAACTCGTCTTCGTTGTGCTGGAAAGTATAATCCTATTTTTCTTACTCTAAAACTAGAAATGTTCTGTGATGTGACAGTATAAATAGCAGATCATTTTGGTTAAATTCTAGGAGCCTGCAAAAATTCATTCAATATCCCGAAATTGTCGTACCCCTCGACCACGAAGTTCGTTTAGGGTTCGCGAAAGTGCATGCACTGTTTGTCGTAGTCGGTCTCGTTCCTCGCTCATTCTGCTGTTCTCCTCCAGCACGCTGCTCCTTTCCGCCATAGTTTCCTCGTAGTCGCGCTGCACACTTTCCAACTGACTTTTCATGCGATTTCTCGATTCTTCCACCTCTAGCCGGTAGGCGACAGCTCTAAAATACGTTCTTCTCTCTCCCTGTTGTAAATGCTTGGGAAGCAGACCTGTTAAGGTCCGCTCTTAGCGAATCCATTTGTTCTTCAAGTTGTTGAAGTTTTTGTAAAAGGGAATCCCGCTCTTTAATTGTGTTGCGTGTCCGCTCCATCCATCGCTCCTCCATCGAACGCAGCTCTCGTTCCATTTCATCCTGAAAATGAGATGTTTCTTGTGGTTGGAGCACTGATTCTGATAGCCCTTTTTTTTACTCCTGGAAAACTTTGAACATCAACTTATGCTATGTGTTGAATACCCTGAGCTGTAAGGCAAGGTTGCTGAATATGTAATGATATATACACAACTTCTATCCAAAATACTTTTTGGTTTAACTGTCATTATAACGCATTTTGCATTCATATACCGTAGTACTTCACTTGCGTCAGATGTTCATAATACAAAAATGAGCATGCCTCTTTTGAAGATAAGCAAAAATTGAGGATTTGAGAAAAATGGTGGTTTTTAACTGCTCTCTGCTTTCTAAATCCACCACAACATGTGGTAATGGAAGAAATAGAGATAGAATAAATTGAGAGCCAAAAAATGGAGATCTGTGAAA